TCAGCTTTCTTCCACAGTGGGATCAGTGACCTTTCACTGCATGAAGGGAGCTGACAGGACAACACACCTTCTATAATTTCTCACAATACATACTTTTTTGCTGCTACAAACATATTGACCTTCTAATCACACAGATATGAGACTGCTGGCAGTGCAATATGTTCACTACTTTTTTTTCCTATTGTCCTTTATTAAAAAGTATTTCTTTTAAATTTCACATATGTATGTTTAATCATCCAATTGTTTGATAGCTGGCTGTACATTTATTTCTTAAAAAATATGAGCAGGTTATGTATTAATATTAATGAATAATTATTAATAATATTAATATTTTGTGATTACTAATATTATTTTAAATTATTCAGAGAATAGTCTTTGCTCATGTGTTGCATAATTCTTACTTGCCCTAGTTTAAAACAGATTTCTTGGTGATAAGAAATGGCTTATGTTCAAATTCTGAAATTTAGATATACAGCTCCTGTTTAGACACACAAACCGTCATGATTTGAAAAGTGTTAGGCTGTGTTATGTTACACTGGATTTTTTTAACTTGCAAAAAGTGGATGCCATGCATGTATGGATGTTTAGAGGCTCCCTGCAGCTTTGTTTCTTTGTGAAGTCTGTCCTCAGACTTCTCAGTGGCATAGGCTAAGCTGGCTTTCTTGCCCCAATGACCAAGAGGAAACATTTGGAGAAGGATGGAGAAATCATTTTGCTGTGTAGACAAGGTAACTTCCCCATGCACCATTTTTCAAGGCAGTGTCCAAAAATGCCCGCTGTGCACCTGGTCCTCGTGTCCTCGCCCTGCTCTTTGCCAGGCTGACCTAGAGTCAGGTGCTGCTGAGCCCAACGTTTTATTCCCTCTGTCATTTCCCTGGTGGAAAGGCGAGTGCTGGAGATCAATCCTGCGGCCACTGCCGAGCTGGGCACTCGGCACTGGACAGTGTCAGACCCAGGAGGTCTTAAAACTGTGATTTTTGCCACCCCTCCCAGACTAGGAGGGATGTCAGCAGTTGCCCACATGGCTTATGCTGAAAACTGGTGCTGATGTTGATGTTATCCCTTTTCAGGAGTGGTTCTTCAGCCAAGCAAAAGGGCAGCCTCAAGGGCAAGGTGCAGGGAAGCCAGTGCAGTGCTCTTTGCACAAAGCTGTCTGCTGCAAATTTTTAATCTGTATCCCACAAAGTTTAACAGAGGAAAAATGTGGCCTCTGTAACATGTAATGGGATGATTAAAAAGGAAAACTTCAGAAAGGTTTTCTTTCATTTTGAAATTGTACAGGTTTTCAGAGTTTCTATTTTGTTCCTTTTTGAAATCTTCAGACTCTTACCAGAAGAAGCCTTTCTGAGAAAGGGAATGAGATAATTTGAGCCATTTGGCAAAGGCCTATTATTAAATTATTCTGCTGAAGCCATTTGCATTATCTCATCTAATGTTTGTTGATCACTTTTAACCTCATACCCAAAATTCGCCTAAGAATACCCTGAAAAATATGAATTAGTTTTGTTGGTGTGGTGGAAAAACTGACTAGTCATCTGGTTCTGTCATGTATTTCTCTATTTTATGCTATATGATTATTAATCATAATCCATATGTGTGCCTTTTCTAGTAGTCACCATGTATTTGGTATTCCTAGAAGAGTACTTTCAGGTGTTCACTTCTCTAGTTGAATAACCAATTTAGGTCTGCAGGTTTGTGCATTTGTGCTTCTGTTTCTTAGGCACAAGAGAGTGGCCCAAATAAATTATTTTAACAACAAATTTCTACAGTTCTGGACATAGCATTTAGATTCTCTTGACTGACCTATGTCATCTAAACACTGCCATTTGTCAAATGGTTCAGATTTTTTTTTTTTGTCAAGATGTCATATGACACAACAGACAACCTAAAGAAACTAAATCTGAAGCAACGTTTCAATTTTCAGTTTACAGCTGTGTTGGTTTGGGGCTGGGATAGAGTCAAGTTTCTTTGTAGTAGCTCATATAGGGCTGTGATTTGGATGAGTTTTGATAATTCGGGGAGAAGTTTTCCTTACTGCTGAGCAGGGCTTACACAGAGCCAAGACCTGTTCTGCTTCTCACACCACCCGACCAGCGAGTCACCAGGGGGGTACAGGGAGCTGGGAGAGGACCCAGCCAGGACAGATGACCCCACCTGAGCCGAGGGGTGTCCCAGACCATCATGCTCAGCATGTCACGCTGTGGGAAGAAGGAGGAAGGGGGGGACTTTCAGAGTGATGGTGTTTGTTTTCCCAAGTCACTGTTACGTGTGTGGGAGCCCCGCTCTCCTGGGGATGGCTGAACACCTGCCTGCCCATGGGAGGCAGGGAGTGTAATCCTTGTTTTGCTTTGCTGGCACACCCAATCTGCTTCAGATGTTAAACTCAACCCACAAATCTTCTCACTGTCACCCTTCTGATTCTCCAGCCCATGGGGGGAGAACGAGGGAGTGGCTGGGTGGGGCTGAGCTGCTGGTTCATGACAACCATGAAGGTGTCCCAAAATTTTAACCGGATAATCCCAGCACCTATTGTTCACCTGCCTGAGGAATTTATTTGTCATCTGCAGTCTTTGAAGCCGTTCATGCTCCTGCCAGGTTTTGCTAGAGCCAGCAAAGTTTCTGGGTGCTGTTGTTTCCACACTGAGTGGATAAACAGGAAATGCACATACGTGTGCTGGAGGATCTGTCACGTGTGAGGTATAAGCTGTGTTCTCTCTTCTGGTGTGTAAACATCCCTTGTTAAACATTACACTTTAAATATTGCACAAACAAAATATTTATTTTGTTTGCTTGGGTTTTAGGGGAAGTTGGGGAGGGGAACACCTTCTCTGCGTTTTCTCAGTCATCAGGTTTTCCTAAAAAGGTTTATCCTTATTAGAGCTACAGCATCTTTATTTCTCCACAGCTCTATAGAGGTTTCTTAACTTAAGAGACAGTCCCATTTTCAATATAATATTGCTCCTGTACTATCTGCTATTGATTTTTCTCTTATTTTAAACTTACTTTTTTTTTTACAGGCAAAGTAATTTTTCAGGTTCAGAGGAGCAAAACACTTTGCGGGTGAATAACTCCAAGCATAGCATAAGGACTTTTTGCTGAGCTTGTGCGTAACATACTTTTTATATTCTCCTTTATTTCTTCCACAATTTTCTTACTCTGTTATTTTAGTACTTCTTTCGCTTCCTTTCACGAATTCCTGTTTGGATAAGCATGTTTTCTGCCTATTCCTATTTATTATCCTTAGTGAGGCCCCGATTCAGTAGTTTTCATAAATGAATATCAAACTTAAACTAAACTGCACTGCTAGACTCTATAATTTCACAATACATTCACAATCACAAGATATTTATGAATCAAGTCTGCAAGTTTATAATTTCTCATTTAGAAGCTGCCTTTGGTCATTTCATTTTTTGCCATCTTCTATCCAGCTGCAACTTTCCTTATCAAATTTTGTTGCCTTTTCTTTCCTCTGTGCTTCCTTATACACCCTTTTTTAAATTTAAAAAAAAAATAAATAAATTTCTTTGATGCATTTTAAAATGTTTTTGTATTATTTTGTTTGCACTGCACCTAGAATTATGAAGGTTCCAGGGTCCAAGATGGAACAATGGTGAATGCTGGTCTTTGTCCAACTGCCTTCAGCTGTGGATATTTTCCCAATAACATTATTCTGTATCTAACATACTCTGATCTTACTATATCCTTTTTCCCTCCCTCCTTGCTTTAAAATATGGAGGCTTTGAGGCATATATGATCTATCCATTTCTGGTTTTCTTCAATAGCATAATTATAGACCTATGAATCATGTAATTCTGGCACGTTAATGGAGTGAACTACCACGTTTAAAAGAATAGATATTGTTGGGCTAAGTTCAGTGTAGGTATCCTCCTACTTGAAATAATCTCTGTGAGTTTTGATTAGTAATTGTGAGACTGTTGACTTCATAACTATGCAGATTTTTTTTTCAGCTGTAGAAAAAATATTGTATTGCTTCCAATAAATATTCATAAATAAAGATAGTATCTCATATAATCCATAATCTATACATGTGTGTGTGTGTGTGTGCAATACCTGAAATAATTCAGCTAACACTGCTGGTAAGTTTTGGATTGCTTGTTTAGTTCCAACAGACTTTATAAATGCAATACAAAATTTTCTAAATGTAAAAGCCTTAAAAAGACCCTCCAGTATAAAACACTCTATTATTTGGGGCAAAACTGGTGAAATGCTTTTTTGCAGCGCTGGGCTTCCAGTACTACTTTCATTATAGACTTCAGAGAGGCAATCCTACATAATTGTCCATGAACAGACTCAGTAGAAGCAATTAATTCCCTAATAATGTCAGTAGTCAGGGTCTTTTAAAATGGATCCCAAATCTCCAGAGGAATAAATGTCAATATCTAATACCCCTTCGTCTTACACTAATAAATTTTCTGTAACAAAAAGTGGAGGACTATTGAATAAGTCTGTGGGTCAAAATCAGAGCAGCGAACTAATGCAAATCTCTCATTAAGCATGTGACTTATGCTTAATTATAATAATTTCATTATAATAATTTCACAGGTTTGAATAACTTTTTTCAGTTACAAGTTTTTTGTCCTCCAATTCTGTAAAAAAATTTTTAAAAGTATTTACTTTCTGGAGGAATAAGGGTTTGATGATTTTCTAGTTAAAAGGGTATAAAAATCCAAAAGCCAAAAATATTTGTTTTTTAAATTCTTCCTATAAGCTCCACAAAGAAAGTGATGCTATTCACAAGTTTAAATTATTATCCAGTGACATTACAAAAACAGGGCTATACTATGACCTGTATATGGCTTGAAAAGATTAAATCCTTTCAGGAAGAGTTGTGCTACAGTGTACAAATCTCTGTTACTACAGAAATTATATATACTGGTTGCACATAAGTTTACAAGAGAAATTAATTGCACAGATCAGAATTTATTCCAAAAGAAGAAGGAACAAAGAAATTTCTCTCACAGGATTTAAATGATGAGTACCTTATTTTAATATCTTCAGAATCCTTCAGATTGGTATAAGATTGTGGCAATTTATGGGCCAATAACCATTGCTAAATAAACAAATTAAAAAAAAAAAAAGTCTTGTGAGATAAAGACCAAAGAGATAAATCAAACCATGGGGGTTTACTGGTAAATATTATTATCTGAAGGAGAAAGAGAGAGCCAATGACTCTGCAAGTAAAGAAGTTTTCAAAAATGAGCGAAATCCTCCGGATGGGATGATGAGGAACCATATGATGCATTATTTATTACCTAGGGAGACAATTAACCACTATATCATCCATAAATGCACATAGAAGAGTTTGAGGCATAAAGGGTAAAAGGGCCTCTTACCCTTCCTCATGCTTTAGCTGTTGTTATGGGCTACCATTACATCCATTTACCCATGTTTCACTTTAGTGAGTGCACAAAGATGAATAACACAAACAACTGAATGAGGCTACAGTCTCCCAAGTAAAGATAGTTGACATTTTTGTATTAAAGATATCCAAAGAAAGGATTTATGTTCTTACTTGCGGTGGACCAGATCTCATCTACTAACCATGGGTTGCAAAGTGCTACAGCCAAAATACCTAATCTGACCTGGTTAATAGGATTATTATTGTGGTCCTTCCAAAATTGCCTCTTGCACGTTCTTGCATCTTTCACTCTTTTCTGTTTGCCATATCTGGAGTACTACTGGATCCATTTCTTACTCCTCTGTCACAGCATCCTACTTTTTTCCTAAAATTCCTTATTGCTTATTTAGAGTTCATTTAAAATTTGATGTTCACACCAGGACTGGAAACATCTAGAACATTTAGTCTACTGCAATTGGCCAATATTTGTTTCTATTTCTCAATAAATATACAATAGTGGCTCTAGTTTTGTTTTTTTTTTTTTTCCCTTTTTCAGCTTAATCATGATTTGCTCTGCAAAACAGGTGAAGAAACTCTACTTAACAGGTGTGAAAACTGGTTGACATTGATAAGTAAATGCCTAAGCCAGTGCTATATAATGTGAGCCATGCTGTAGCAAGCGACAACCTCAAAGGCAGAGGGTTGCTTTGTTGGGCTTAGATGCTGAAAGGAATTTAAAAGCTAGTGGGAAAAAGCAGCCTAGGAGCTTTTTGTGGCTCTTACTGCTTCTTTTCCAGTTCATCTCTTTGAAGGGGTACCAGCAGCATGTCTTTGTTTCACCAACACAATCAAAGAGGTATTTTCAGTGTTGCTTTCCAGCTCCCAGAGCTGAGTGGGAAGTAGCTGGGCAGACAGGGAAAAGGAGAAGCACATCTCCCACCACCAAGCTGGTGGCTTGCTTACAGGACTCTTTGGTGCATCTCTGGACCTGGACTACAGAAAGGTAAGAGTGACCTAGACTTGCCTGCTCTCTAGGCGAATAAATACTGGCCATGAACATTTGTAAAGACTCAATTTTACATTCTACCTGAAAGTACTGTATTTTTAGCGTGTGGTTTCACTGCTTCAGACCCAGAACAGATTTATCATCAGTGGTTGAAATAACTTTGAAGCAGATAGGATTTGCAATATGCCATTTGAACAGATTCCTTAGCCATTCAGTATTGAGAGGCTGAAGCACTGATGCTGCTACTTGTTTCCTGGGCTATGAGCTGTTCTTTCTATCTGATGTCTCTTTGAGGCTTTGTAGCACCTCCTGCTGTAGTTTTGAACACAGTAGCTTCAGCTGAAATGAAATTACTCTGTGAATTAAGAAGGAAGCACCAGATTTGAAGCAAAACAGGCCAGAAATTTTTTATTCCACTATAGGTTATATGTATTTAAACTCGTGTAGTGTGCTTAAAGAAGGATTCATAGGGACTCATTATTTCCCTTGATACTGTAAAATACACATCTTGGACTCAGAAATACTCAGATACTGAATAACAAGAACCACCAACTACCTTGAATGAAGTGCAAATAGCTATCTAAATGATTATTCAAATCCAGCTAATATGAAAACATTCCCATTTGTTAGCAGGGGAAAACTGAGAGACTGGCTTATATAACATCTCCAAGTGCTTGAAAATTTAATTTTTATTTCTTGGTCTCTCAGGCTGCCAGTTAAAAACAACCCAGCAGACAAGAACATAGGAAAATAGGAGCATTCAGGCTGCATGGTGTAGAATAATGAAAGCAATTTAGATACATCTGGGATAATGCCACATTAACTGCATTAGTGAAGCATTTTCTCCCATAACATAATCTGTCAATGGCCTACTGTAACTGGCAGAATAAAACTTCTTGTCAATTTTATTTTTGCATATCCATATTTTCTCTAACAATGGCTTTTCTTTGTGAATTTGTGTGTTACATCACAGCCTGCCCTCTTACTTCTTCCTTGTGAAAATTCAGACCTTTTCCATAGGTTTCATCTGTGCTCTTTCACCATGAATATTCAGAGAGCTCTTCTATACACACCTCTACAACCTGCTTTGAGACAAAGACAGAATTAATGTTCCTCTGGTAGGAGAAAGCCTGGGCTTTGCAGACGTACATATAAAAGGTTATCTGACTACTGGAAGGAGATAAAACAAGTACTGTGTTATAGGTTTGCCTTCCTTGTTCTCAGGTTGGCTGAAAAGCCAGGAATGACATATGTCATGTCACATACTCCCAAGCAATGGCTGGAAATGGTTAACATGGATCTGTTTGGAATCAGGGCATCATTTTCTCCGTGCCATCCAGGAGCAAGGAACTGTCTTTGCAGCAGAAAAGGATTAAGAGGAGAGTCAATCTGTTAACAGGCTAGAGAATGTCACCTCTTCACAAGCATTGAAGATCTATCCTCAAGGTCTTCAAATACTTTGAATTCTTTGACAGGAATCACTCAAGACCAGCTCCTGACATTCCCCCATACACTTCACCCAGTGGCTTTGGAGAAAGCTGGTTAATTCTTAAAAGCTGAGGCTCTTCTGCCCCTATCAATGATACTTCACTGTAAAGACAGTACAGGCAATTCATCAAATAGGTATTACAGATAATTCCTGTCCTTCTGATACCCTGTCTTGACCTTTAGGACACGTATGCCTGTTGTTACAAATAACAAAAAATGATGCAACTGGTGAAGATCAATAGAAAAATTAGCCAAAATTGGGATGCCATGCCAATTAGTTTTTCCAATAACACGTTTGCAACACAACTGGTGTGAGGCATGCCCTGAAAAAGAGCATAAGATGCTGAGCACCAAGAAAATGCCATTGGGAAAGATCTGCAGCTGTGAGCAGTAATTGGTAAAGTGCTATCATCAAACCCCACATGGTCACATATGCAGAGGGAGATTCATAGCATATCAAGTGTAAAATGAAAGCTGTGATATAGCAAACATGAAGCCAAAGGAATATTGGTCAATATGCTGAAGCTGCTGGCTGAAGCAGTCTCCCAAATGTTTTTGACTTTGAAAATAAAAGGAGAAAACTGGAAAAAAAATATTGTTGTAGTTAGGGGAAAAAGCTGATGTAGAGAAATATTCCGCAGAAATGAGGTGCAGATGCTGGAAAGCTGGATCATTATCAATGAGTAATACCACATTGTCAGTGCTCTCACAAGCATGAAAATGATATACATCATCACTAATCCCTATGGATTTATCATGTCACATGGTCAGTCTACATTCCTCCATCTCCATCAGGCAAAGGCTGCGGACACTAACCAATAAAACTGATGTCCTTCAGTCACAGTGAATGGGTGAACGAGGAACACAGTAACATCATGGACTATAATGGTGTATTAGTAGGCTAAGACACATGAAATATGTGCTAGTATAAAGTATTAAAATAATTATGAAGAGTGGTTCTGCACAGCCAACACCAGATGCTTTGATTCTGGTTCCTAATCTGTTTGAAACACAGGGCTATGTCACATGGAAGTGTGGCCCTGCACATTGGCAAGGTGCCCAGAGACTGTGAACCTGCAGTAGAATGCTGAGAGTGAGAATTTCTCTCTCTCTTTTCTTGCTTTAAATAGTAGTCACAGACATTTCCTTCCCTCTCAATTAATTCTCCTATGTGTTGAACAAAATTAAGGCTGTGTCCCTAAAAGAAAAGAGTTACTCGGATTTTGGAAAGAAAGAAAAAGGTCATAGATATCAGCTGGTCCTCTGGTATTTCAAGCATCATTCTGTCTGCCAAGAAGAGAGTGGGTGGTGAGATTTGGAAGATGTATGGAGGTCCCCAAGTGGCTACAGGTAGGGTCCATTTTTCCTTTGTAGTTCCTTTGCTGAGTCAAGGAATGAAGAATAACTGAGTGTCTCAAAAATCTCTGCTTCAGTGATGCTGGGTGTAGTTTTCTATTCTCTTGGTCAGGGAATGAATACTTGGAAATTTTTGTATTTAAGCATAAATCCACACCCTGTGACTTTTGGAAATACTGTACTATACAAAGAGAACAAGAAAATCCAGTTACTTGAAACTGCAAATGCTCTTAATCATCATTTTACTACTTGATGATGTATCACACTGTACATAATGAAGGTTGCCTGGTCAAACTCGGTGCAATTTTCATGGTTTTTAAAGCAACTGGGTGAAACTGGGGAAGAAGAGAGGACTTTTCCTTGGAAGAGGAGAGGCTTTGTGAGAAGAGCAAGACATCTGTGTATGTTTGATGTGGAAAGGGCAAGGCCACCTCAGTTGTGTTTCTTCATTTCTCTTGTGTCTCACCTGCAAAAGTGTTTACAAATCGGAGGCAAAATTGTAGTCAATAAAGCCATAAACATAGAAAGTGCTGTCTAATATCAGGAATGCTGAAAAATCAGTTTCTAGCCACCTCTCAAACTTCACAAGCCAAATCAATTGATCTTTTTGACCTTAAACTCCCTGTGATTCAGTAACCCCTCTTTAAAATGTGTATAATACCAAATGCATCCCCATCATTTTGGAGGGGTGAAAGGCTGGGAAAATAAAGTGGTATTTGGGAAATCATCACATAGTAGAAATGTGTGAATTAAGTTTCTGGTTTTAGAACAGTGTTTGAAGAGTGTGCCACTAATAATAGCTGGAACTACACATAGAAAATGAAGAGAAATAAAAGATTGAGAAGCTTTTGGTAAATGACTT